CAGGTAGAACATGGCTGCAAGTAGAACCCGGTTGCCAGTCCGGTTATCTGTGTGAGAAATGTTAGTTAAAAATCAACGTTCTCCGGTTTGTGTTCTTCTGTTTGCTGTGAATCAAACTTGGACCTTTCAGTCTTTTTAACCTGATATTTTAACTTCGTGGTTTGACTTTTATTTATTACTTTTGTTCATTTTATGTTTCTATTAAGTTCTAACCTGATAATAAAGTCGAAGTGTTCGGTCCGATCAGGCGCCTACATCCGAGGTCGGTTCACCCAGCGGGATTTGGACCGGCGGTTCGTGTTGTTTGTGGTTCCTGCAGACGTGGAGGTGACAGCCGACAGCTTCCAGTTCATCCTCAGCGACCCAGCAGGAAACGTTGCGCTGCCACAGCTGTAGGTTTGAAGACTTGGTCGTCAGAATCAGCAGCAGCGTTTGATAGAATGACGGACTCAGTGTCTCCGCAGGCTGCAGCTGTCCTGGTCTCGGGTCGAGCTGTCCGCCACATGCTACAGAACCTGTGAGACGGCCAGAACCCTTCAGATCCAGATCCAGCGCAGCGGCAAGAGCATCGACCCAGCTTATGTTGCCATCCAGGTGAGTCGTGCTGGTCCTGCTGCAGCTTTGCTCCATGTTCTCACAAATATCCGAGCTTTGATCAAAAAGTTCAGAGTCTGCTCCTGATTGGAGGTAGCCTCCATCAGAGGTCCTGATCTGGAAACATGTTGGCTCCATCTGGGACCAACCTGCTGGACTGAGTCCAGACAAGAACCTTCAGCTGGAGTTTAATGATGGAGGAGAAGAAGAAGAGGAGGAGGATGGAGGTGATTGTGTTGTTGTGGACAGAATCTGGTGTCAATCAGCTGAGACTGTCGGAGCAGCGACATGAATCACAGTTCAGCTGGTTGAATGTTCTCAGGACGTTCCAGTGGAACTCTGAGTTCAGAGAAACATCGGGAGTCAGAGACGTCTCACCTGGTCATTGGACTGTTGCTGGTGTTCAGGTAGAACTCCGGTGATGTTCTCTGTGAACCGTCTCTGAACTTCCTGATCAGTCCTCCGATGTTCTGCTCTCCAGGTGTGAAACCTGCAGCTTCTTAACAAAGCTCCCAGTCAGGCTTCACGTCTCTGCATGAAGAACTTCAGACTGCAGCCAGAGCATGAATGTGAAACTCTTCAGCTTTCAGCAGCACTGTGTTTGTCTGTCACTGCAGGTGGAGGAAGGATCGGCCAAACCGGGCAAGGATTTCACTCACAGCACCGCCGGCCTGATCCAGTTTGACCCAGGTCAGGTTCTGTTCAGCACAGCGTCACAGGAAACTTAGATTTCTGACAGCTGTTCGTCCACATGAAGAAAACATACAACTTCATTTATCTCAAAGGACATTTAACTCAGAAAACAACATGACACGAGGATAAAAGCAGTAACTGATCACTCAGATAGAAGTTCAATACTTTACTGGAAATAAAACTGAAATAAGACACGAACAGAAAAGTCAGAAGTAAAACTATAAATGATTCTTGAAGTAAAACCACACATGAAACTGAAACTGAATGTTGTAAAGACTATTTAAAACAGTAATTTTGTGGTATATAATCATGTAAAGTGATATTTGTGCAGCATCAGCATCAGTCTGATGTTACTTCTGAGTGCTGAGTGTGTTTGAAGGCTGGATTCTGCTGAATCCGGTCTTTGCTTTACTGAACTCTGGCAGCGTTTGGTTGTGACGCTGCAGCTCCTGGTTCTGCTCTTCAACCTGTTTCAGGTGTGAACGTGAAAACCTGGAACATTTACCTGATCGATGACGGTCTGGAGGAGAACCACGAGACCTTCATTGTCACCCTGAAGAACCCACGAAATGCCGTCCTGGGACCGAGGAGCTCTGCCAGCGTGGAGATCATCGACCCGCGAGGAGGTGAAGAGAATCAGATGCTGCTTTAAAGACAGACAAAACTGCAGCTTTGGAACCTTTTACAGTTCTGCTCTCCATGTTTTAATCAAACTCTGTCCTGTTTTATGTCTGTCAGGAAGCTGCGACCCAGAAGACCTGAAGGTAGAGGCTGACCAGCGACCTCCTGGTAATCCTCCTGGTTCTCCTCCTCTCCTCCCTGAGGAGGACCAGGATCCGGTCACTGACATCGAGGCCGAGCTACTGTGGGAGAACCATCCTCATCCTCCCAGAGGAGACGTCCCGAACCGCCGACCCTACCTGGACTACGGGGAGGTGGAGCCACAGGACCAGGCGGCACCCAGCTACAGACACGTCCACCATCACCACAGACAGCGACCTCGGACAGCAGCTGGGAGCTCTGGGAGCTCTGGGAGCTCTGGGAGCTCTGGAAGCTCTGGACACAGGCTGAGAGTTGGAGGACTGAAGGTTCGTGTTCCTCATCAAGCACCAAAACAGAACCAGGTTTATTACAGAAGATCCCAGTTCGTCTGAGGTGCTGATCCATGACAAGCTTTCAGATTCATTTGGAGTCATTCTTCAGTCGTCGACCTCTCTAGTTTTATGTTTAATATCTTAAGTGAGTGGTTCATTCATTCGAAGACGTAGGAGACTTGTTCTGAGCCGTTAAACTCTCAGGCAGCTGGTGATCGACTCGCAAAAAATCTCTACATCAAAATGTACTAAATGGTGGTTCATATTCACAACGTGACAGTTTTACTGTTTAAACCAGTTAGAAATCATATTTTACAGACGTTTGCTGTTTTCCAGTTTTGCAGATTTTCCAGTTCTGAACATGTTCCACTGTTTTAGACAGATTTTTCTGACCCTTGTTGTCAGTTTTTTATAGATTTTATTTCCTGTGCAGAGTTTTATCTGAGCTTTGTGTCGATGTTCAGGTCCGTCAGCCTGCAGAGAGACGATCGCAGGAGAAGTTCTGGACGGTAAGAATTTCCCTTTATCACAAAGACACACCTGCGTTTAACCAGCAGGTACAGAAGGAGCAGGAGGCTTTAAAACAGCTACAGATCCTAATACGTGTGTAGAATGGAGCAGATGTTTCTAACTGTGTACCAAATGGACTGGGACAGAACCACTGACCCGCTCAGCTGATTGCAGCCTCCTGTTCATCAGTTCCACAGTCTGACTCCTCTCCGGCTGGAGGAGCTGCAGCCTGCTGAAACCGGATGGAGCCGCTCGACTCACAGTCGCCTCCTGCAGGAGCTTCCAGTCAGAGATGCTTCTCAGAGGGACCATCCAGAACCAGGACAGGAACCGGAGTTCCGACAACGCAAGGTCCAAACACACACATATGTATGAATATACGCTGGTGAACAAAGTTTACATCCACTTACAGACCATGTTCATCATTCAGTCTTTAGTTTCCAGTGATTCCGAGAACTCTGATATTTATCTGATGGAACCATTCAAACATGAATCTTTCTCACATAGAACAATCATGTTTTTTGGTTCTTTTATAGATTCATTAAAGGTCTTCTGGAAATATGCTTGGTCATAAATATACATACAGAAATGTTAATATCTGGTTGAACGTCCATGTTCTCCTCAGCTGGGTTCTTCTGGGTTCCGTCCACCAGCTTCTGGTTCATCTTTGACTCCTTTGGGGTGGAAACGC